AGTGACTCTGCTCCCTATGTCCCAGGGCTCCTAGGGATTCATAAATGTCTTTCTGTATCTTTTGTTGGTATTTTATATGTGCCCAATACTTTATTTAAGTTCATAGTGAGGAAATGGCTTTTGAAAAATTGGGCAAGATTTGAGGGAAGCATGCAGAACGAGTAGAAGATTGCTGGGGAAGCAGACAGAAGGACAGTGTTTGGTAGGAGGAACATCTTTCAAGATGACATTTGGCCAAAGGAACAGCAGTACAGAGGCAAAAATGTGCCAGGGAACTCAAGAGGATTCATGAGTTTCATGTTGTTGGTCCAAAAAGGATGCCGTGGGCCTGGTTGGGGATGAGGTGAATGCGCAGCTCAGGCACGCTCTGGAAAGCCCTTCTAGTTCTACAGAGAAGAGTAGGTCTCCTGTAGACCCCCGGAAATGTATCAGAATGCTGCTTGCTGTAAAGAATAATAGACCTGAGGGGCAGTGGCTAAAACAAAATTAGGATTGTGTAAATGATTCATGATGCCATCAACATCCCAGATGTCCCTCTTCAGCTGTGAGGCTGTCTCCTTTCCTAGTCTGCTGGTTAGCAGCTGCTCGTAGCATTATATTCTCACATGGCAATATCCAAAGGCTGGAAGGACTGCTTTTGTCTACCTCTTTTCCTTCAAATAACGAAGAACAGTAAGATGCTTACAATAGCCTTCCCCAAACATTTTACTGGCTGGGTTATATCACATACTCATTCCTAAATGAGCCTCTGGTAAAGGAAAGGTAGTTCCACTGATTATCTTAGAATATGTCAATTCTCTTTTGGGAGCTGGGTGGAAGTTACCTTCTTTGTATATTGGGATAAAATGATACCAAAGTAAAGTTGCAATTGTGCAACAAGGAGGAAGAAAAAGAACGGCTGTCAGGTTGGAAATCAGCAACATGTGCTGCAGGGATTCCATGGGGAATTTTGAGCAGAAGAGCAAGAAGATTAGATTTGAGTATTAGGTCTCTCTGGTCATGACCTAAAGCATAGGAAGGGATGACCGAGCCAGAAATAGAGAAACAAGAAAACGTTACTGAGACAAATGCAAGCGATGAAGGTGCTCCAGAGGAGCCAACAGATGAGAAGTTGACCTTTGTGGATGGAAAAGACAACAATGACATGGCCAGTAAATTAGTGAAATCTATGGAGTTTGATTTTTGTTCTCTCTGTGCTTAAAAGCCACTATAGGGCGAGGGAAGGGAATAGCTGATTAGGTAGATGGATCGCATGCTTTGGATGCAGGAGTTCCTGGGTTCAATCCTGAGTACCTGCATAGAAAAAGGAAAAAGAAAGGCTAGTCCAAAATATCTGAGGATTGTAGATCTATTTACGACACCCATTACTGTTTGCTTTCCTTTTGCCAGCTGTCTTCATACGTATCTGAACCACAACCAGGTTTTTCTACAACAAAATGGTTTAACCCTCTGAAATTCTTTTGTGCAACATTATTTTATGGAAATCTTGTTGAATGGACATAGACCTATATGTGTGTGTATATTATAGACAGTGGTCAGTGTTGTCATTAATATACGTGTGACTACATTTTCTAGGTGAAACATCAGCTGTCTACTCAGCAGAAGACAAAGATGCACAGTCTCTTGATACGGAGGTACTGTCTCCTTTTGTTATTTTTCTTCTTCTTTTAATACGTAACCATGAATGGTCATTACAACATAAGTGGATGGATGCTTTGACTTTGTGTTCTGACATTTACATTCTCCCATCACAATTCACATATTTTCTAATCTATAGTTAATGCAGTTATTCTGTGATTTCAGTCATGCAAGTGCATAGTACACTTGTGTTAATTTTCCATGCTCAGCTACTGAAAGCAGTGTCTGTATCTTAATTCTGTGCTTCACATACTTTTCTGTTACAAAGTAAAAAATACTTAATATAGATAGTTCCAAGTGCAAGCTAGCTGTATATTGAAGATCCTTCTCTTTTTTATGTTCTGCGTTGGTTTTTTGCATTCCTCACTTTCGATTGATCAAATGATGTCTCCTATTCAGTCTTGGAAATGAGATCTTTCCATTCTGTTCTGACTAAGTCTGTTCTAGTTTACCATTTGACATGGTATAATCTCTGACAACTTGCCTTTTGCTCAATCTTCCCCTACTGGAATCCCCTTGCCTTCACCCTATGGACTGGACCTCTCTTTTAAGGCACAGCCCCATCCTCACCGCATTCCCTGAGCCAAGACATACACCACACTCTACTCTAATTTGTGCCCTGACTACCCATTGACGTCAGTTGTAGAGCTGTAGAATGATCATTTTCTGTGCTGATTGGTTTTCACATATCCCTGGCTCTTGTACCATAGACAGAAAAATCTGTCTTTCTTTTACATTACCAGGTTCTCCCAGGATAATCCTTGTTATTTCATAGATACAGTAAAAGTTTTATGTCTCACTGACTGAGAGAGTGAATGGCCAACTACATGAGAATGATGGCTTCTGAAGGTGGGGTTTTCTATTTTGTTTTTATAGGAAGGGGTGACACAGCCAGAAATTCAAAAAGAAGAGACTGGTACGGAGACAGATGGAGGTGACCAAGGTGCTCCAGTGGAGCCAACAGATGAGAAGAAATGGACCTCTGTGGATGGAGCAGACACACCTGACATGGCTGTGAAATTACAAGATCTATGGAGTTTCATTTGTTTCATATCTGTGTTTATGAGCTGGTCTGGGCAAGGGAAGGGTACAGCTGAGTGCTACATGGATCGCATGCTTCAGATACAGGAGTTCCTGAGTTGAATCCCTAGTATCTCCATTAAAAACAAAAATTGAAAAGCTAATGTAATATATCTGAAGTCTGTAGCTCCAGATACCATATCCATTAGTGTTCCTTTTCCATTTCTGAACTACCGTAATACATAGCCAAGAAATGAACATGGTTTTCATAAAGAAAGTGCTTCTTCCCTGTGAAATTCTTTTGGGCCACGTTAAGTTACAGAAAAATTCTTCATAGGAGTTAGACTTCATGTGTGTGTGTGTGTGTGTAGAGTTCAAAGTGGTCAGTGTTGTCATTAATATCTGTGTGACTGCACCCTCTAGGTGAAGCGTCACCTTTCCCCTTGGGACCGGAGGAAGATGCACACAGCCCTGGCGAGGAGGTACCATCTCCTTTTCTTGTTTTTCTTCTTCTTGTAACATCTAGCCGTCGAGGGTCGCTAGTCCATAAGCGGATGGATGCATCGCCCCTGCGTCCCGACGTTTGCGTTCTCCCGTCCCAATTCTTGAGTGCTGTTTTCTAATCCACAGTGAGTTAAGTTGTTCTGTGCTTTCGGTCTCACCAGGGCACAGTACACTTGTGTTAGTTTTCCACGCTCACCTGCGGAAAGCGGTGTCTGTATCTACATTCTTTGCTTCCAATATTTTCCCTGGTAGGTTAGTCCAAGTCACTGCATATAGATAGCTCCCCGTGCCAGTTCGGTGAGGTTTCAGAGGTCTCCCGCTTAGTCTTCTAGTTTTGGCGCTCCTCGGTTTCAATGAGTGGACTGGTGCCTCAGTTTACTGAGTCTTGCCAGTGGGGTCTTCCCATTCCGTTCCCACTCAAGTGTGTTCCCGTTTTACCATGTGATTTCTCGTGCCATTCCCCACCTTCACCTTCAGCTCAAGCTGCCCTTCCTGGAATCCCTCACCGTGCCCCCTCTGCGCTCAGCCTGCCTTGGAAGACACGGTGCTTTCTTCCCAGCGTTCCCTGTGCCGAGCCCTGCCCCAGACTCTTCTCTCCTTTGTGCCCTGCCTGTCCGTTCGCGTCGGCTATAGATACGCTGCTTAATGGCCCTTTGTCGTGCTGATGGGTGTTCCCGTGTCCCTGCCTCTGGTAACAATACGGAGCAGAATGTGTCTTTCGTGTGTCTTCCCAGCTGTTGCCAGGATGATGCCTGTGGTTTGACACAGGCAGTGAATGGTTGCTGCCTCACTGAACTGACAGACTGAATGGCCAAGTGTAGGAGTCGGTTGGTTTCTCAAGGTGGGTTGTGGGGTTCCTTTGCTTTGTTTTTACAAAAACGGGTGCCCGAGCCAGAAGCGGAACGGGACGGCACCCGTGCTGAGATGCACGTCGCTGACGAAACCACTCTGGAGGAGCCAACCGAGGACGAGACCCTGACGTCTGTGCTTGCGGCAGACCAACCTGATGAGCCCGGTACGTTGGTGAACTTCCACGGAGGTTGACTGTTCTCCTGTGTGTGCTTAAAGGCTACTGTGGGGCCGTTGAAGGGTGTAGCTGATGGGTAGATGGGTGGCATGCTTCGGATGCAGGAGTTCCAGGGTCCCATCGCCAGGACCTCCTTTAAAAAGAAGAAGCCAAATGGCGATCTAAAATACCTCAAGGCTGTAGGTCCACATACCACATGAAGCACTCCCGTTTTGTTTTCCTTCTGTCCACTGTCTCCACACATACCCCCAACAAAAGCAGGCCTTCCCTCAAGAAAATGCCTAAGTCCTCTGAAATGCTCTTGGGCCACGTTAGTTTACGGAAAGCTTCTTGGGTGGAGTTAAGCTTCACATGTGTGTGTGTC